CGGCCCCGCCTCTCAGGAGCAGGGCTCTTATGGGCTCTGGTGCCACCGTGTCCACAAGGCACTGCCCTGGCCTGACCAGATGCTGGGGACACTGTCTGAGCAGCAGCCTGAGGGCCAAGGGACACACATCCCACTGTCCCCAAAGTCCCTGCCTGTGCAGGAGCCTGCAGAACTGGAGGAGGGACCCTCGGAAGGACCCGGCCCCGCCCCCCCTGGTCCAGCAGTCACAGGGAGCCCACTGACCCGTGTCTCCTCCCTGGCTGTGCATCAGAGGCACCAGGGAGGGTCACACTGGGTCCCTCAGTCCCCTCCACACCATCAGAACCCGGAGACAGGGCACAGCCTCCACCCCACACCCGCAGCCCTGTCCTCTCTGAGCCTCAGGGTCCCCATCTGTAGAGTGCCAGGGACAGTGCGTCCACCCCTGGCGACACGGCTGGGGGACAGTTCTCACCAGCGGACAGCAGTGGTCCGTATTGTGAGCACTGCCACCGGGTGGGGCTGCGTGTGCTGTTGTCCCCTGCTCCCTGCTCGCCCTGGGACCTCAGGACAGTCACCCAAGTCCCATCTCCTCCGGGGCCCAGAGCCCTCCCGGCCTGGACGTCAGGCACAGCCCGGCCCCACTGGCAGCCCCTGCCTGAGGCAGGACAGGCTCCGAGGCCGGCGGGCAGGGCCTGGTCAGCGGGGGAGTCCCCAGGTGCTTGGTCTCCGGCAAAGGGGGGGGCGGCTGCCTGCAGGGGAGGGCGGCCCAATGGGAGGCAGAAGCACCACCCAGCACACGATGTCCAGCGGGCTAGGGGGCCTCACGGGCCTCAGGACCACCCCTCTGCAGGGCAGCTGCAGGCCAGGGGCGTCAGGAGGGCACAGCGGGCAGCAGGAGGGGCCCGGCTGGCGGTGGGCCTGCCTGGTGGGGCTCTGCCAGGAGGGTGTCCATGTCTGCTCGGCCAGGGCGGCACCTGCGTCTCCCACCCAGCCCCAGGTCCCCAGAGCCCAGCTCCGGCCACACAAGGTCCTTACCACCCCCAGGGTCCCAGAGAAGCCAGCGCTTGCCCTCGGGGCCCACTGGTCTGTTGAGGGGTGACGGCCAAAAACTGAAGGCAGGAAGGAAAAGGGCAGACAGGAGCGGGGCCGAGGGGCAGCGAGAGTGACCCGTCCGCCCCACCCAGCCCCCACCCAGCCGGGCACCAGCCCCGCACCTTGCCCCGCACCCTGCCCAGTTGAAGGGGGAGAAAGGGAGCAGGGCAGCCCCAGGGCAGAGTGGGGGGGCCAGCGAACAGGGCGAGCAGAGCCCCGCCCCTGGACAGCTGGCCACGCAGGCTCCACATGCCACCAGGGCAGGGCCGGAGGCGAGAGGTGGCTGCGGGAGGAGAGGCTGCTCCTCACCAGAGCCTGGACGCCTGCCTGGGGGGAGGGAAGGTTCTGGAAGAAACAAACACTGTGGGGGGAGGAGAGGCTGGCGGGAGGCGGGGTCTGGGAGGTCAGGGCAGGCTGGCCGTGGCCCCCAGGGCCCTGGGGCACAGGCCAGGGCTGGCCCAGGCTCTTCCGGCTGCTGGGAACTTGGTGCCACGCCTGGGGTCTTCCTGACAGCCCTCCCCGCCCCGCGTGGACTGGA